TGAATAAAATGCATCAAAAATAGGGAACTTTTATTTTTTATCTCTTAAAATTTGGACATTAATGACCATATTGTCAAAACAATTGAAAATAAATATGAAGTATGGTAGGTAATCGGAAAGCTCTTGAAATTCTCTAATCGAATATGAAATAACATACAGGGTGTTCCATTTGAAATAACAAAGTTATTGAGGTTTTTAAATCTTCAAGTTCGACACAAAATTATGGACATCCTCTAGCAAAAAAATCTAAAACCAGATGCACGGTTCGAAAGCCCTTTTCTATTGGTATTCGTTACCGTATCCAACCTTTTGAAAATATTTCATATTAAACGAATACAACATCTCTTGTAATGGTGTACATACGTCAAAATTTCTACATAAATTCAAATAATTCCAGAACTATTCAAAAAAGTACATGTTATGGTAATTCATTGGAAAGCTCTTGACGTCCGCTAACCAAATATACAATAATATACAGGGTGTTCTATTTAACTTAAACAAGTTGATTACTACCCAGCCGAAACAAAATACCCTGTATAACTAAAATTATTTTTAGAGTATGCAATGATGATTGCTGAGGAACTTCTGTGTTACCTTCTTTTTTATCTATAATAATACAGAGTTTATGGAATAAATACGCACTAGGGGGGACACCCTGTATATGTATACAAGTAATAAAAAAAAAACAATAATCGTTTTGCTAGTATACACAGCATAATCCAATACAGATATAAGAAACAAAAATACAGCTATAAATTTAAAATGTTTGTTGACAACAAATGACATTATAACAAAATCGCCCGGCTCATTTAACCCTTATTTTTCTGTCGGCATGCCCCATTTGGCTGTTCTTGAACTGTCAATAAACATTTTATTGGTTTGCCCTTTTTTGTTTTTTATTTCTTGTACACGGGAACATATTTTAGGAATAAGTATATTTCATTTTCACTACATTTTTTGTAATTTGTTGACAATCGAATTGCGGCATGATAACAAAGGCGACTCGGGTAATATATCAAAAATTGCCATTGATGACTGCGCACAGTACCATTTCCGACATAAACGACAAAATTGAGGAATTCACTAGTTAGTACTGCGTTTTATCACTGTTTTTTAAGTACCAAAGACCAAAGAGGATATCTTATATAAGCTTGGTGACCAAATATGACAGTTATCATAAAACTGCCAGTACAACCTCATAACTCAAACTCATATAAAAAAAAAAAAAAAAAAACAACTACTAAAAAAAAAATAAAAAACTTTAAACAAAATAAACAACCATATATTTCATATATACAGCTGCCCTTTATCCTCTAATGGTCTTCTTCTTCCCTAATAAAAAAAACTAATTTTTATTCTAAATTAAATAAAAAAATTTTAATATAAATTAAAAATTATACAAATAATTAAAAAATTTAAAAACAAATAATAAAAAAAAAAAGTTATCACTCACCGGACAGGGGCAGATGAGAGGAAATTTAAAAACAATAAAAGCATACCATAATGACATAACAATAGGAACTTTATAATTATGCATATGGTAATGTGACTATAATCCTATAATTAAGTCACTTGTTGCCTTGGGATATGATTTCATTGTTATATACCAATAATAAACAATAAAATAAATGAATAAATGTATCAGGATATCCAAGGATACCCGACCGATTCATCTTTCTTGGAAAGGAGCTCAAATTCTAAATACCACGCCCGAGGCGATATCCTGTTTACAAAATATATCATGTTTTACATAATCAGATAATAAAATTTATGAAATTCCATATCTGATGCAAATATTAAGCATCCCGCAATCTTAGATCGTGGAAGGCGGATATCCATTAAGCCTGAAAGGTCACCTTTAAATGTATCATAATCATATTCTCATTCATTTATTAAAAAAAAAAAAATTGGATAATAGTGTTTTAAAAGAAATGTGAATATAGGTGTTAAGCAACTGGTCAAAATAAAATATCAGTGGTATGTAGAATTAAAAACTAATAGAGAGATGTTAGATTCGTGAGTTGCAAGTCAAAAGAAGCAAGATTCATTATCAAAAGATCCATATTGAAAACGTACTGTCAAGATCGATCACTTAAGGTGAAAGTTCAAAAACTAGTTAAAACGGTAAAGAATAGTTTTCTTTGTATTTGACACACTGACAAAAAACTTGTGTAAATTTTGCTAGATTTTTTGATTTTCATCATTGTTTGTAATACAAAGCAGCGTATAATTTTAAATGATCTGCAAAAGGAAGGTACCGCTTTCAAAAATTTCTCTTAAATCGTTAATTAATATATAATATATGTTAATTAATATATAATACGTGTACACTATGTGCAGAAAAACACCACAGTAGTGCTTGCAGAAGTGAAAATAAAAAGTGTGTGAATTGTATTAGAGCAAATGAAAAACTAAATCAACTTGAATATCCAGCATGCTGCTTTTGATAGGAAATGTGAGTGTTACTTAAAAATTGTTGATTTAATAAAGAAGATAGCCTATAACGAATACCAACCACAGGATGATAGTGCGCTATGTCTGTCTTGCATGAACGCTGAAAGTTATTATGATTATAATAAAGACCAAATATCAGACTATGTATTTAAATATAAACCCTTGATTCTGTGTCTCACTGAAAAAAGTATTACTGAAAATTTTATTGACAGTGAATTAGAATTGAAAGGGTATAACATCGTTCGTTGCGACTCGAGCAGTAGTCACACAGGTGGGGTATTAATATTCATTAACAAGGGCATAAAATTTGACAATGTAAAAACATTAATTCTAGACGTAAATTTTTTGTTATTATCTGTTGATATAAAAGTTTTAAATGCCCTATATAGTGTGACTGCTGTTTATAGATCGCCTAGTGGTAATATAACACTTTTTCTTAATAGGTTTTTGCAATGGCTAGATGATTATGTTGACAAAAGTAATATACATAGTATAATCCTCACAGGTGATTTTTCCAAAAATGATTATGTAAAAAGAAGGTTTAAAGAAAGTATTGAGAATTATGGCATGAAACAGTTTATACAAAATTTTACTAGAGTATAAGAAATAATTCTAGTAGCATAATTGATCTTGTTGTCAGTAATGATTATACAATAAATGCGTATGTAGAGCAAAATTATATCATAACAGACCATTCAATAATTCAAGTAAAAGTAGAAAACGGTAGGGATTTTCAAAATATCAAACAAAGGAAATTAGATCTCGGATCAATTTTGATGAAATGACAAATTTGTTAATTGAAAAGGAATGGGAGTATTCTTGCACAGATGTAAATATTGTTAGTCAGACATTTGTAAATAACATCATATTAGATATACTAAATATAGTAGCACCAAAATAAATTATAACAGTAAAGGTAGCTGAAAATAGATGGTTAGATGATAAGTGTCGAGAAGCTATTGCAAATAGAAATAGGACTTACAAAAGATTTGTTTTTACACGCGACGATAAGGATTGGAATTACTACAAGCAGAAAAGAAACAATACTGTAAAAGTTATCAAGGAAGCGAAAACAATATTTTATCATAGAAATATAGATAGTAATAAGTCAAATCCAAAATTAATGTGGAAAAGCTTAAAGCAGTTAGTTGGGGAAAAAAGCGGGGAACACGCTCTGCAAAGTTTGAACTGTAATGGAGTAATATATAACAAGAACTTGGCGGATGTATTGCATCAGTATTATGTAGGTAGTATTGAGAGTATTATCATAAGCAAAGGGACAGATGATGTCGATATTGATATAATTAATGAATCTATACCGGCTGTAAATTCTTGCATGACATCATTTAATGTTATAACCCTACAAGATCTAAATAAAATAGTGACTAAACAAAGAAAAAAATATAGCACTGATGAAATCGAACGTGATATCATAAAAAAATCTTTTTCACATAATAGGGTATCCTTTTTTAATTTGATTAATTTGAGCTGGAAAATGGTGTTATACCTGAATGTTTTAAAACATCTGTAGTGGTACCTATACCAAAAATACCCAATACGAATCTGACAGAACAGTTAAGACCAGTAAATATGTTGCCTTTTTGTGAAAAAATCTTAGAATTAATAGTTTATGATCAAATAATAAAGTACATAAATTCAAATAATATTCTATGCACATATCAATCGGGATTTCGTGGTAAACATTCATGTGAAACGGCTTTGCAACTAGTAATTTTAGATTGGAAGCAGTTGTTGGACAGAGCAGGAGTTTGGATTTGCGCAGTTTTCATTGATCTTAAGCATGCTTTTGAAACAATTGACCGTAATATACTACTATTAAAACTAAAGAGATATGGATTTGAGAACACCGTTATAGACTGGATTACAAGTTATATAACAAATAGGTACCAAGTAACAAAAATGAATGGGAATTTGTCAGAAGCCAAGTTAAACAACTTGGGGTTCCTCAAGGCAGTGTACTGGATCCATTATTATTTATTCTTTATATTAATGGCCTTGGCATGTGTTGCAAAAATGAAAAATATATCTTTTTGCTGATGATACTCTTATTTACTATGAGAGTACAAATTTTGAGGACATGATAAGTACTGTTAATTTAGAACTAAAGATCTACCGACACGTGTTTCTGCTTGCCTAGCGTCATCAGGGTAGCTTGGATATTTAAAGAATCCACAGTAAGAAAACTTGTAAACCCCAATGTAATAAACATTAATGGCTTCAGAGAACAGAACAATTGAAATTATATAGTGGAAATACCCCTTCGGGGCAATGAAATAATTTAAAAACAAATTCCGTTCCTCTCTTGGTAAAAGTTAAAATATAGAGTGGAATAAAAAATAATATTAACTGAAAACATTTTTTGTTAATTATTATTTACTAACTTTTACAAATCTTATCACAGATAAGTACAACATATATCCTTTTAAACAATTATTTAGTGGAATAAAAAATAATATTAACTGAAAAAATTTTTTGTTAATTATTATTTACTAACTTTTACAAATCTTATCACAGATAAGTACAACATATATTGACCGGCATTCGAACCCGGGACTCCAGCGTGAGAGGCAAGTGTCCTTACCACTCGACCACAAGGCACATTACCATAAGATGGTAAAAACTAAATATGTTTGTAGGATGACTTAATACATCATGCTTGGATGTCCGACACTGAATCACTAAAGTAGAGATTTATGTTGAATTAAGTTTAAAATCCAGTTGATGTTCTATCAAAATTTGGCGCCCATACCCGGATTTCTAATAGAAATTTAGCGACATTTTTGGATTCTTTACATATTTCGGCGTCGCCGTATGGAATTTTGTTTACTGTGGCTTTGCAATAAATTTGTCACAAGGAATTATGGAATATAATGAAAACGTATGTAAATTTATATGCGGTATTACCCGACGCCGACGTATTTAACTAAATGGCTCTTTTTATTATTTTATATCTCATTTATTTATAGAAATTGGCTGACAGTGACACGAAATTAAAGGTTCATGGCCATTAGGTGTATAATCGTATGAAATACAATAGATCAACAGACATTGTCTAAACATGAAAGGTGTTTTGACATCTGAAAAAAAAAACAATTGTGGAAACTTTTTAAAGGTATGTTTCAATGTTTCTCTTTTTATCAATTTATAAATGGTTTACAGAAATTGGAAGAAAAATGCGTAATTTAATCCCTTCCATAATATGAGGAGCAAGATGTCTTGTTGTAGTGTGGACGCCTAGTATGGACTGCAAATGGATCATACGAAATTTGCATCGCATTTAGTTGTATAACTTATTTATTATTATAGGCACATTATAAATCCTACGCCAGTAATGTAAACTTTTCTTAAGAATACAACATTTTTAGATTTTGAAGCATTTCAAACTGAGATATTGCCGTTTTAAGTTTCGTTCTCTCGTAAGTTCCAATGTAACAATAAAATAGTTGAAAGTTATAGAAAAATATTTGCTCTACAAAACCTTTTCTGAAAAATGTATCAAAAAAATCACAATTTGTCTCTTTGCCACTATAAGCTTACTCGTTTTTTAAATATTGACGGCCTCGAGATTTTGAAACATCACAGAGTAAAAAATCTAAACTATTATTAAGACTACTAATCTTAAATTAAGACATTATTGTCTCATATAATCGCAAGAATAGATATTTTTCCATCAAGGAAAACGTTATTCTTAAAAGTCATTATCTTAGTCTCCTTCTTTTAATGATAACTAATTATTACCTTTAGAACAATGATTCTACTTCAGCTAAGAGGAAGTTTCGAACAATATTCAATACTGACTTGCACTTAATCTAAGATTTCATTTATTCAGTTCATGACTGGTAAGTCGCCGTATTCCTTTCAAAGGATGTTAGTATCTGATTTTAACCATAATATGCATCAGGGGCGTGCGGTGAGTTCTGATACAGGGGAAGCAGTTTGTGATATACGGTGATGGGTAGTGTGAAGCCCCGAGCGAGGCGAGGCAAAATTTTTTTTAAGAAAAGGGGCGTGGCTTCCGTATACTCATTTTAAAGCAAATGTCAAAAGCCGCAAAGTTATGATGTCTAGAAAGATATTAAAATCAAGATTAAAATCAATAAAACAAGACGCATTACTATGCTATACGGCTCAGATATCAAAATTATGAATTGGGGATGGGATGCATTTCAAGAAGTTACTTATATCGAAGTCCCGCGGGTTCGTGTTAGCTCGATTAATCGAGTGCGTCATCGTTACGGTTTTATCGTGCAACATTATCTCAGTTGTTGAAATGCAGGGCCGTGTCTATTGAAATTGGGTAAAAGTAAATTTTAATGATTAATATATGTGATAAATAATAATGTTCTAATTATGTTTTTTTTAATAATCCCAAGGGAAGCACTGCTTCCCTTGCTTCCATGGACCGACCGCCCCTGATATGCAAAATGCAAAATCAAACAGTTTTTGAGATATTCTGTTATCATTTTTTTTTAGAAACTTCCCTTGCCCTTATGTATTTCAAAAAACATGTACCATCGCTTAAGCGGAGATTTCTCACTCAAAACTCAAAAATAAGACAAATAGTTACTATCAATATGGGTTCATTGCTGTTCCATACTTGAAATGCAGAATGTTGCATTTTTATTATTATTTCGGTTAATTTTTTAAAGAAAATGACTGACTTCTTAGATGGCGCTGTTATGTAGACAGTTAATTACTGAAAAAAAGTCACCTCTTGATTTTTGATAGATTTAGGTTCCGTATAGGAAATAAATACAATTTTTTTATGTAGGGTACTTATTAGCATTATTTTATATTTTTTAATAGACTTAAAGAGACTTTAAAAATTGCATTTATCTTCTACACGATGCCGATATCTAAAAAAAACGTCGAAGTGACATTTTTTTCGGCAATTAACTTTGTACATAATTGGGCTAACAGAAACTAAAAAAAGTCAGTAACGTATATATTTTTTACAGTTAACGCAAAGAAAAATAAAACTTCAATATCTCAGAAACAAAGCAAAAATGGACCAATGTTGATAGGAATTAGGTATATTTGTCTTATTTTTGAGTGTAGAATCTCCGTTTAAGCGATGACACATGTTTTCGAAACACCCTGTATCTCTTTAATTTGAAAACAATGAATGCTCTACCTGTACCTAGTATTTTTGTATTATTTATGGAAGTAAAATGTAGTTTTTAAAACTTCATATAAACCTTATTCGAAAAGTAATATATAAAGTATAGAAGTTTTTAAATAATTTGCACATTTAATGCATTATCAAGTTTTAAAAATAATTTGCTATGAATGTACGATTGGGTTGAAATTTTTTTTCACAAATGTAGTTTTTTTGCTCGTCTTTTCATCTTATTAAAGTATTTAACTTAATTTTTGTTACATAACTATGTAAACTAACGCAGGAAACTGAAATATTAAAGAAAGTTTTATTATTTTTTTATTTTAAAAATAAAATATCTCAAAAACTATTAGATCTCTAAATCAATTCCAAATGAGTTCTACTAACCCTTCCTCAAAGGAATAAGCCGACTTAACAGTCAGCCTGTATATGTATTGTATAATAAAACGAAACTACAATAAAAATGCAGATCTTGACTATAGATTGTATATAATACACAAGCAAAAATTATCAAAAAGGAAAATAACTTAGAAAATCTAGACACAACCATTAAACTTCAGATGAATACCTTTTCACCTACAATATAGTGACGTTGTATATTCATTTCTTGTAAAGTATAACGTAATTAAAATAGCTTGCATGCAGTAAAACCAGAATTATTGAACTTACCTTCTAATATTGAAATTAAGGACTCCAATTCCCAACTTGCTAATAGCTCTTCCATCGTAGACTCATTAACTTCTATTTCACAGTTCATAATGTTAGTATACTTCTTTTTCAAGTGTAACTTTACGAATATAAATTATTTCATAATAATCAACATCTATGAACAAAGTACAGCACACACAATTCGACGCGTAGTAGGTAAGATATGTCGTCTTTGTTTGGCAAAGGCATAGCTTTCTACCTCCCACCACTGCGCGATTCACTTTTTTCATCATTATTTTAGAACACTTCACATTAAGATTAGTAAGTATTCAATTAAGGATAACAGTTATTGGATTAATAGTACGTGTAATTCATCCAGCAAAGTTGTTTGTTGTTTTATTCCAAGAGTAGTATTCTTATGTCAAGAAAAACATTTAAATAAGAATTTACTTCAAGATGTCCTTATACTTACTCTCACGGTAAACAGTACTCGAAAGAAGTGTACTATTAAGACTATATTTAATACATACTTATGCTTCGAAGGAATCAAACTTATATTGACTTAAAGACTTGCGCTAATGAAACCCAAAAATATATCTGTTCTTGGTTTACAATTGGTATATTATTGGAACAATAATAATTTATTATGCCACGTAATATTATTCTAATGACAAGTATAAAAATTCAAGAATAATCGATTACTTTGATATAGAATAGTTTTCTTTCTGTGCAGTATAGAAGCATTCATATCGGGTATGTCAATACGCAAACTTCAGAACTGTAAATTTACTTTGTTGGAACCGCCCTTTTTTCAATAAATTAGTATATTGTTTTAAATTTTTTAAAATCATTTTTGCAAGTTGAGAGTGCTCTAAAATCCCAAATAAATTGGTTTATGATCAACTTTTGTTCTGAAAGTCTTATTAGTGACGATTTTTATAAATTAATTTATAAAACATCCAGTATAATTTTTGATATAACATAGTTTTACATCAAGGAGGACTGGTTTCCGAAGTGCCATTTCAAATTTCGAAAATGTTTTGTCCATTACACTCTTGTTACATCTATCCGGCATATACACAGTGTATATGCCGCTGCGTATGATACAGGCAGTAAGACATTTTCAATTTTAACACTAATGTTACAAAAACATGTATTACTATTTCCTCAATTGTTCGCGCATTGGTCTACAACACCTGTTTACTACATATTAACAGTGGAGCTGTACTCTGAATAGTACTTAAAAATACGCATAATAAAATTAATGACTTCATGTTTCATAAAACCCATGGCTTTGTCAACATAAATCTACATGGAACTGATTTTTCGCAACCTCCGTAATATTGTCGACATAGTTGGTACTATTTATTTTTATCCTCGCGCCAGCCATCTACGTATTGCGATGTTTGTTGATAAACTGATTCTGAATAAGGAATGGGAATACGGTCTAGATCTGGCGGCGCACCCACACCTACTTCATATCCGAGAAGCCGGTCCCGAGATTCACGTAAATTGCCCGGTGTCTAGTTATTTCAAAATATATAAAATTATGAGGTCGTTCAGTAAATATAAACAAACATATGCCAAAATAATATTTACAAATATGTTGTGGACAAACAGTAATCAGCGATTTTATTATTTGTATGTTATGCAAATTTTATATTTGCAAATATTTCAAAACAGTTCGACACGATCTTTAAAATAAATATTCATAGTGGAAGGAAACTACAACAAAATATTCAAATCAGAAACGCATATATTTTAGATTAAAAAAAGTTTACATATAAATCATCTTTATAACTCACTATATTCTAAATAAAAAACTTCCAATAT